CAAGAGTCGAAGAGGCTATATGCCGAAGCGGCCCCTTAAGAAGAGGGCAACTACGATGGCCTTTCGTTCTCTCGAACGGACAGCCATCCACATTTTTGACCACGTTGTCCCTCCTATTTATTTCTATGTCATTTTGTCAGGATTGTTGGAGAAGAGACGGCGAACAATCGTATTGATTATATTTTGTCGAGTCTGCATGTATATAGATTTTTGCCTACTTAGCGATATGGAAAATGCCAGTTCAGTAAATTTAACGAAATCGATGTGCCATTATTATTCTTGACTTTTGGTAACTTATTCGCTGTCTAATCTCAGACTTCCTGGATTTGTGTTAGTGTTCTATTTTGCCTGTCCTTTTGTGCCCCTTTCCAGGTTTAGGTGGATCATTTATCAGAATCCATTTTTCCTTTCAAGTCATCATGGGTAGTTCATCGCTGCAGATCTTGCTGGACTCGTTGGTAAGCGATGATAAGAGACGGTAAAAGATGTTAAAAGATGTTCGTTATCACAGAGATGAGATGGGAGATTGTTCATCAGGGTCGCGCACTTGCCAATTGTTTGAAACTTTATCACGTGAATGTGGAAGGTCCTGACATTCGTGAAATTATATTTCTAAACTTGTTTATAATCATTTTGTTCATTTTTCATTAAAGCATTAAATGTTTCGGGTGTCGGAGCCTTTCTTGCAATCTCTGTTCTCACGTTGTAAAATTTCAAACAATTTGATACACCCAGTTCAGACAAATGCTTCACGAAAGATTAAGTTCTCGGTGCTACTTTCACATCACTAAACAATTTGGCAGCTATTTCTTTTGAAAGCACTTTTTTAAATTCTGATACTAGGAAATAACTTCTATTACTGTCTATTGGGTGGTATCAGTGCGATGTAATGTACGCTATTTCTTTTTATTTATACACGGTGTATTTCAATACAAATATACATGATGACTTTAATCAAGAGACGTCGCAGCATCTTGGATAAGTTTACAGTCATTTATTTTTACACCAAAGATGTTGTAGGGATATTTTATCCTGCAATAATCAGAGATATAGCAAATGCAAGAAGCAAGATACCTTTTATCTTATTTTTTTTGTAACAAATGCTCATTCAAGCAACATCTTAATGTTTTCTTTCAAGGAGTCATATACATTTCTCTGTTAAAAGGGAATTGGTTTTTGCATATTTTAAAAATTATTTATATCACAGAAATACCTTCAGCTCATAGATGAGCCAAAACCGAATTTAAGTGGCACAAAAGCCCTTTCTACGCCACTATACGCAGACACTGTATCTGTAATAGTTCTTGAATGTTCATTTTTTGTTCAACCTTATAAACGTGTACTTTTGTAAAACAAGAATTACGGCTGTGACATAACAGTGATTTGTTCTGATTATTAACAAATATTAATTTCTCTCTAGCATTGAAAAACGTATACGACCCCTTAATACAAATTTTGTATTTACAACGTAATACTATTGAACTTAAAGGCTGGTAATGATAGTTTCCTGAAGTTATTTAATTTCTTTAATTATTGTGTAAACATCATTTTTATCCTAAGTTATTTGTATAATGCACGCACTACGATTAACTTGACGTCATTTCTTATGGATAAATATTTTGACAGATAGATATTATAAAATAAATTAACCGAGAAATTTATTGGTTAAGCCTCCTGTCGTGGAGCTATTTACGTATTTCTATTGATAAAACGATCGAAGCAGATTTTACAATTACCGATGTCGATTGTTTACGACAGCTTCGTATAACTTGGAGGTGAGAACTTCTTCCGCAGAAATTTCAAGATGTATAAGGGCATACACGAGACTAATGTTATCACCAGGACTTTCCACACGAAATCCATTGTTTTTATAAATTCAGCATCTGTGAAAATGTAAGATAACATTAACGATGGTTCCCTTTCAAGTTTAAAATATTGCCTTACTGGACATTTTTAATACGTACCAAAAGATTCCTTAAGAACCACTAAGGATAAGAGGTACAGAGCGAACGATAGAACTTCAGCGACTATCATTATTCGGTGCCAAGTCCTAATGGTCAAAGCAACCATAATCAACTCTGTTACGATCAGGGCTGAGAAGCTGATAGCAACGATGTGAATGAATTCATCTTCAAACATTATAAGCGCTCCATACATAATTACTCCGCCTGCGCAGAAAATTTACATTAACCGTCGTATGAAGTTTACGTTTTGTGGATGGTGTTATGTACCCGGTGGAGCATTACATTCATACAAACGCACAGTACATGTTCAATCGTACCTATTATCAAAGAATTCATAAGTCTCCATAGAAGCCCAGAAGGATGCTCTAAATAGTATGTTAGTCAACGGATGGCGGCGCTGTAATCATCTCTCCATCTCTCTTAAGCTTATGGCAATATAGAGCGAATTGCATTCTTTCTTTCTCTTACCACAGTATTCGCCTTTCTATATGCGTCTCTCTTCTTCCCGTATGTGAGATATCGTTGGCTAATACATGCGATCTCTCTTTCAGTCCCACTTCCGGTTTGTTAGCCAACTTTTAGAGCATCAAGCGCTAACATAGGATCTGGGTTTCCATGGGACTTCTAAATTCTTTGCTATTACCTAAGTTATGTACTACACTAATTACAATGTTCCCATTGTTCTACAGATTTTGATTACCTATATGCAAATGTACCGAAACAAAGAAATATTTTATCGATTTCAGAATCCCGAGGCACGTTTCGTTGCCGATTAATGGCTTTTCATGGCAACTAACCCGAGATAAAAGTGTGAAATAAATTGTCACAAATGTAGTATATGAAAAAATTAAGCATCGATTGTTTTCAAATATGAATTGTTATCTCTCGATAGTTCATGTAAAGGAAATACCGATTTAATAAAGTTCTGTTGGAACTTTAAAGCACGTGGACGTGGTCGTAACTAGTATTAAAAAAGATAACATTTTTAATTTGTTCAGTTACCTTGGTAAATGCTGATTAAAACCCATATGAAAAATGTTTTATAGGATAGCGAACGTCCTTTACTAAGTTCTTTGTATAATTCTGGATAAGTGAGAGCAATCCTGCCTGACACATCTTTATCCAGTACTAGGGAAAAGACAGGGAACATGGTGTAGATGGTTCCGTATCTGGAATAATATGGAATTATAAATTCAAAGACATCCATGCATTTTACATAATATCGACAAATGAGTACATAACCGTGTGATAAGAATTTCACTTTCGTTTCTTTTTTTATATTTTTCAACGCACGATGATTAACAATGTGTACCGTGCATTAATTTGGGTTTGACTCTAAAATAATGCCGTTGTACATCTTTTACTTGCCGAATCATTAGAAGTCCTTGATAAAGAATTACTTTGTTCAAAACATTGCACTAAAAATAGTAAATTTTGCCTGTTCCTTTTTTTTATATTTTTCAAGGCACGATGATTGACAATGTGTACCGTGCATTAATTTGGGTTTTACTCTTATAATAGTGCCGTTGAACATATTTTACTTGCCCAATCATTAGAAATCCTTGATAAAGAGCTACGGACGATAAGTAAAATACAGCCGAGAAAACGGCTTGCATCGTTGAAATGATCAAGCCACGGTGGATGATAAACTGGCTCAAGGCAGCCGATCGCTTGTAGCTTCTTCTCCCGTGAACGAGTAACAAATTTGCAAGATGACTGAATTGCGAGATTGAAAAGTCTGCCGCTAAAGATGCTTGTTTTCCTTCAAGACCTTCAAGACCGATTCCTGCAACGAAGGAATAACTGTTGAAACAATATAACAGCCAACTATTTTATCTCATTGCTAATATATCAAGAAGAAAATCAAGAAAATCCTCATGAAAATAGAATGATGATAAGTAAATATGTAAGTCATCATTTGTAAAATATAAGATAATTATTATCTCGGTAAAGATTATGAGTTGCGAAAGACAATTAACGCCTACATTTTTCTTGTAAAGGATCAACCTAATTCCCTAAATTTTTGCCGTATCATTACAGAAGCAATTAAACAGTTTGTGGTATTCAGAAATTGCATTAAGGAAAATTGTCTTCCTTTCGACATAATATCAAAATACTTTACCAGCATCGGCTGTTTGAATCATGGATACATCGTTTCCGCCATCTCCTACCGCTGCCGTTCGTTTTCCAGTATGTCTTTGAATTAAGCTAACGACTTCGGCTTTCTGAGTTGGCGAACATCGGCAACAGACGACGGCTGGCGAACTGCACGCCAGCTCCAAAAATTCAGTTTCATAATATTGCAAACAGACTTCCAGCGAGTCTCCGGTTATTACCAGTGCACAGTCTTGTTTCTTACGGAAAGAATTTAACTCTAAATGTGCATCGGTTCGCGTTACCACTGATTTAAAAATATGAAGACCTTGGGTTCGTGAAACAAGCTGTGACGACTTAGCGATACATGTTGCCGTTTCCAATTTGTCTCCCGTTAACATCCATATCTGAAAGAAGAATCAATCCGTGAATAATGACCAATTAACGTTATTGGTAATATCCTTGAAACTTACCTTTATTCCAGCAGTTCTTAACACTTCTAACGTAGGCCTTACTCTGTCTTGCAATTTATCTTCGACACCGGTGACACACAGAAGTTCCATTTCTCGTTCCAGACTTTCAATAACCGCTGCGACTCTGGGAATACGATCACTAACGCACATCTTTGCCGCGTTGTATCTGCCAAACGCATTCAAGAATATAATGAGATTGTTCACAGAATAAAAATTACACATTGAACATATCTTACTGTGCTTAAAACGCGGCTTACGCGTCACGTTAATAATTGCGTTAAATAAAGAAATTCTGCCTTGAATTATGACAATTGAAGGTCTTACAAGGAAAATTCCCAAGACTTCACATAAATACAAATGTCGATAACGTGACGCGTCAGTTTATGTTACCAGTTGAGTATTCAAAATGGCGGTACCACCAAAAAGAGTATAGATGTATTTTATTTTATCGATACCGATTAAATTTCTCAGCGCCTTTCATATCACTTTATCGCGTTGAAAAAGTGTATTCATGAAGTTAACATCGGCTCGCATTGAAGCCACGCTGTCTGTCAATCGCCATGTAAATAATCTCTTAACAAATAGTGTGTCAGGACATTACGTAAATAGATATACCTTGCTTCAAAGTCAAGGTACTGATCTTCGGTTAAATTTTTCTTTGCAACCACCAATGTGCGAAGACCTTCTCTAGCCATGTTTCCGCATTCCTCTTCCAACCAATCGTTATACTGAACTATGCTTGCCATAACGACATCTGCTCCTTTCAAGTAAAACGTGATCTCGCCAGTGGAATCATCCCTTACTATTATGCCCATTCTTTTAGCTTCGGATGTAAAGGGGAATATTTGCAGAACGGTGTAATTCAAGATCCTTCCTCTTGGGGTTTTAAGTTGCATAGAGGTGAGATCGCGTTTTATTAAAGCAATTCCTACTTCCTCGGTCCACTTGACTAAAGCAACTTCATCTGGACTAGACGCTTGATAATTACGTTGCTGCTCCGAGGGATAGTAATATTGATCTGCTTCGGTTTGGCTACAAAATGGAGAGACACACTATCAATTAAACTTCACTCAGCGTTTGCGTTAAAGTATTGAAAACATGAAAGATGAACTGTTTGTGTACTGTGGATTATGAAAATGTGCATGCTCGATGATGTACAATTGCACCTTGAAAATTCGAGATTTCTTCAAGGTTTCGATGAGTACGAGGGCATAATTTTTCTAAGGAAAAAGGTCGATAGGAGGGAAGTATTGAGCTCCGAGTATGGAGGATATGCGTCTGATCAATTTAACGAAAATTGATCTTTCATGCAGTGTTTAAACATCGAGTTATACGTGTAAGTTTGTAGTGAAATCATACGCGCACCTTTGCACGGAACCAGTGTCTGCAGTATTCACGCTGACTGAATCAGAATTGGTGGAAACGGGTTCATCGTACACAGGCGTTACGTTGTGGCACAATGCCAATGCCTGTACCGCTTCATAAACTCTAGTTCCTTCAGATTTTCGAACCTTTCCTCCATGTATCTGCGTAAATAATTTCGGTGAACCGGAAGCCGAGAGCGAATAATAGGACTCCAGGAGCGATATGATCTCGTCGTAGGTCTCTTGTCCATACGACATGGTACCCAAATGTAATTTCTTGAAAACCATTTTATTTTGCGTCAAAGTGCCCGTTTTGTCACTCAGCAGATAAGATATTCGGCCGAGTTCTTCCGAGATAGTGGTCGTCCTCACTACTGTACCGGCTATTTCTTTGTCTCTTTGTATGCACCATGCGTAAAATGATTTCCCCATGTCCAAGTTCACTCGCAAGCTGATCGGAATGATGTAGGAAAATAGCAGGACAAAGCGGAACATGTATCTGTACCATGGGCCATTAAATCCTTTTAAACACATCATGACTAAAGCCAGCCCAATGAGAGCACAGAATAGGACCTGTGAAATGTTTAAAGTGATATAAAGTGACTAATGTTTAAGTTTGAAGTGATAGTGAAAAGGAACAGTTTCCAAAAAGAATGCTTACTTTCGTCAGTTGATTTATCTCTTGGTCGAGCAAACCGACTTTGGATCGCGGTGCGGAATGGTTCATTAGAGATCTCGTTTCTTGACCAGTATACACAACTATTCCCAAAGCTGAGCCGGATGCAACGGCGGTGTTTGCCCAAAGGGTGTTATCTACGCCAAGACTTTCTTCGGTACTGTGCCCATTGTACTGTAATGATCAGATATTAATTTTTTGGAACATCACAGTTACTATACATGTTCTATCATTGATACAATTTTAACACGCTAAACGTAACACGTAAACAAATATAATTTATCAATAGCATATGTATATGATGCCATTTCTACACACGAACCACCTTGATATCGGACAGAAATGTTCTCGTTTAAAATTACTCGTCATTGATTGCTATGAGAGAGTTGCTTGGGAAAGTACTTACACTTGTAAAAGTACCAATAAAACTATGAATGTCTTTCTGGGGTTTTTCCACATACAATGTCGCTTTAATATCAAATAGCTGTAAGTCATCATCAAGTTTTTGCGTAGCTGGCACTGCTAAACGTAATTTCCAATCCGTTTCGCCGTCCAATTGATCGGTTCTCACAAAACAAGCCCCCGATTTTTCAGTTGTTCTTAAAAGTACCAAGTCGGCAGGCACTCTTTGCCCTTTATCCACTATAACCTGGAAAAATACAAAACACTTGCTTTACGATTGCTTAATGACAAGTCATTCAACTACAAAGAGGAAGGAATTAAGCTGTAGCAGGTCCCTCCGATTTTGGCCAGTTTCTAATATGTTGTAGTAAATTAAATTCTATGATGTATTTCTTTTCATCTTTCAGCAAATAAATATGCGTGATAAAAATGCAACTAATGTATTTCTAACACAAATTCAGTATGCTGAGTCTACTAACTTTGAAGTCACTTGATTAGTCGTATACTTACCAAGTCACCGACGCGTAGTTTTGAACTGGAAACTAACTCTGGCGTGGCACGATCCTTTAGAAGACGATAGTACTTTTGGGCATTGACTTCTTTATCTCTTTTGTAGCGTCTGTAGTCATCGACAGCTTCACGGCAAATTGTAACAGTTAGCACAAAACCAAGAGGACCCCAGTATGTATATAAATACCCGATTCTGATGTCAGGTATGAACTGCGATATAGCCATTATTAAAAAGTAGAGATTTAGGAAAAACTTGAATTGCTGGAAAAGAACCTGAAATGGAGAAAAGTATGAAACAATAGATAAATACCTATGTTGAAGTTCATGAAATACACTGCGTGTTTCATAATGTGCCCAGTAAGTAGCTGTTGCAATTTCTGACAAAAAACAAAGCAATAAGAGTACCATCAAAATTTTTCCAAACCGAATAAAGATATAGTATGTTTTCCAAATGGAGTCACTGCTAAGGAAGATTACTTTAGTCACTCCTCCTATTTTCTTCAATTTTTTATATGCTGTGGTAAAATGAATTCTATGAGACACATACATTTCAAATCTGCTGTAAATCAGTTTTAAGGAATCAAATTATACTTCAAATTGGACAATGCAAGGGAGTAGTTTTGTGGTTTCACCTCGAAGCACAGCACTAATATCAATGAAACCAGTGGTGAGATATTTCTTATTATTTGGATTAAATGAAATTATGACCATTACAAAAATTACAAAATACATCTATCGGCTTTACAGTGGTAATAAGACATTAAAATAATTTTGCATCATCATCGAAACTATTGGACAAAAAAGAAGCTTGTATTAAAGGACTTACCAGTGGCAGAAATGTAAATACGTTGTATTTCTGATTCCGTATAACATTAGTTGGGAATTTCTCGTACGAAACTTGTCCGACATGAATCGTTCGAGCTCTGAGCTCTCGTTCTCGACAACACCTTCGCCAAACCCAACTCCAACATCTGATAAAGAAAACACCAATCAATGGGAACAAAAACTATAAAAATTAGATATTTACAGCTGACTAAGGCAGATTAAAATAATAAACTATTCTTGTTGCATTACCCATAAGCAAAGTTAGAATATCAACTTGAATTTATTTTAACATTATTGTCAATAAATCTGAATTCATTAAACCAAAATGCAAATGATTATCTATCGACTGAAATTACAAAGCTATTAAAATATGAATGCCAATGTAGTAAGTATAACAACTTTGAAAAGAACTAACTAAATAGATTATAGTAATTCTTAGAATAGTGTAATTCGTATTACGTTTCTTCATTATAAATTGGCAATATTGAAACCATATAAAAAATACTATAACAAATTTACATGTCAATAAGCAGAATATCATAGTGAGCTGTTATTCATACAACATACATCAGAAGTAATCATGAAACGTTGACGTTCATTACAGGATCACAAAATACACATCATTTCTATTATTTAAACAACTATAGTCAACTACTTCCAGCATTTTGAAACCGATTGCTACGTTACAGTTCGTGTACATTTTTTTTAGCTTTCCTTAAGGAGACATACACAACGAGGAAATTAAACGATAAAGTTTAATTTGATGATTAATAAACGGATATTATAAAATATCCCACCTTGCCCAAGAGCCATCACTTTGCGGTTTAGATATCAGTGGAATATCTTCCTTCGAAAGCCTTACAATATTGCTTTGCGTCTCCATTCATTAACAATACTCAAAATGAACAAAACTTCTAAACATCGATAAAAATACAACACCAAAATGACAGCTGTATCCTTATACAAATGTGGTCATACGTTATAACTGACAATAACTGATTATAACGTCAAACACTAAATGCAAAACCGATGAATCGAGATGTGCAAGAAAAGTGCAGTAATACAAAAAGGAAATGCGCTTTGCAATCCTAGTACGAATTCCACGGTACAGAGGTCGCTCTGTAATCTTGAAATATATAGGTCCGGTTCCATAATTCGTTAATTGAAATTTAGCTGGTTTATACACAGTTTAAACCTGCTGTAAATCACTTAAACTCGAGTTAATCGAAGTTTAAGTGGTTTACACCATAGACTTAGAATATACGGGCCCCGAATAAGGGTTATACAGTGACGTGTCATTCAGGGTTTTTTACGTAACATAATTAAGAGAAGTACTTTGCGTAAAATCCCAATAAAATACCTAATAAATTTCGCGACAAAGATGGCGGTACGGAAACCTTATTTTTTTCAAAGTGTCTTAAGTATACATCACTAGATAAACATTTTAGTCAAAAAAAGATAGAAATAAAGCAAACATTAAAAAATCTAGGCTTTAACGTTCCAGTTTTCCATACATTCCATGGAAAATTTGGAATTTTAAGCGTATCACGAATAGGAACTGCAGAAACAAAGTCCCATGTTTGTTCATGTAATTTACATCAGGTATGAAATTTGTAAAGTAAAATACCTAGCAATTTACTGTAAGGAACTATGTAAATTACCCAAGGTATTTTACTTATCTAACCCTGCGTTCCAGTTTACTATATATTTCAGTGGTTAAAGTTTATTTTATGCTCATCTCTGATTATATATTTCAGTGGTTTCAGTTTACTATATATATTTCAGTGGTACCATAGGGTCTATTACGTAAAGCAAATTAAGCGAAAATGTGAAAAATGAGTAGCTGACGGTATTACGGAACGTTATTGGTGATGAAAATGCGAGACCATTCATGTGAACTGGCTTGGCATAAATTTATAAGCCAGTTTACTAAATATTTCAGTGGAGAACCGCTACAGAGAACGATCGCCGCCGCCGCCGCCTAGCGGCGCTCCCCCTGACTACTTTCCTCTCCCTAGTACCCGACCGATCCACGAGATACCGCCACGGGCTCTTGCATTGACAGATTCCGTGCTAGGCATGGCGGACAGTGTTTACAACTGATCGCGGACGATTGAATTGACGATTGCCGTCCGACGTGCACTGTTTGCGGCATTCTTTCTCGCCTCTCTCGACGACATCGCGCGATTTGGCCGATCTTCTCGCGAGCTCGTAGGCATAACGTTCTCATGCGCGCGTACATTGAGAGAAAAGTGTTCTTCCCGACGAGGGCTAACGTCACCTAAACGAAGCGGTCGCGTCTGCTCGGCCGTTTCGCTCTGGCATTCTCCTAAGGGAATATAATCCGACCCCATTAGGAGGTCCTCCCATTAACCGCGTCGGGACACGTCGCGGAATGAGTCGCTCCTCCACCTGACTCCTCGCCGAAATGGACCGCCCCCTGTAAACGAGCATCTCCATCGTTCTCAGGGCTACGGGCGAGTCGGCTCGCCTCGTCGATTAAGATCCATTTAATTGATTGAACGCCGCTGGAACCTAAGTGCGAGAAACTTGGAGATTACCGAGCACCGGCTGGATAACCTCCGGGCGGAGGTTTTCACATTTTTCCCTCGATTTTCTTGGCTCTACTCCGTTTTCCTTCCCGGTTTGCTTTTTTTTTCGTTTTTTTTTATTCCCCTCCGCTGAGAGTAGAACGTTGCTTACGCCGGGCAGTCGAATCTGCTTTTGGAAAGACCAGTGACCGAAAGTGACTCTCTAACGTATTGTGCAACGCCGCGTCGGGAAAGGACGAGCCGAGTTTAGCCGAGTTTAGCCGAGTCTTGCCGACTTTTCTCGGGGGGGTTTCCGTAAAGCTGGAAGGCCCAAGAAGCTTCGAGACCCCGTTCTCGCTACCGTAAGTATCGACGAAGCCCCTTGGCATATTTTTCCTAATGCTTTTTTTCTCTCCCCCTGATAATTACTCGGCCCTTTATGACAGGGACGCCGTCGACTCGAGTACGAGTTTTGCACTTCGCTCGAGTATTCCCATAACCCCGGGATAATTCGTCGGGGTTATGGGAATCGGGTTACATGGAATGCCGTCGTACCCTCTTAAATACCCTCTCTCGGAGGCCGATTATACTCCTGTCCTTTTTTAGACAGGTCACTGCCCTCTGGCCGTTAATAAGTGGCATTGGGATCTCGGAAATGACGGGGTTGCATCGCTCGTTTTTCATGAATGAAAAACGGTGAAAATGGCATCGCTGATTCCGAGGATGTGATCGTAAATCATCGATTAAGTGGATTAGATGGGATAGATCCATCGAACGCATCTATACGTATCTATACTGATAACGTTGCTCGAGTCTGATTCGTATTCTTGTTTTATAATAACGGTCGCATAGGTACCAGGGCGTTTATTACGTATTTTTGACGAGGGCGCTCACTTCTCGCACTTTCATCTCACGTGGGTTTATTCGCCGAATTACGTATTCGATATATGTGCCCATAATTATGAAAGTGGCTGAGTCATATATTATTTGTTTCGAAATTACATTGAATTAATTTCGTTTGAAACAATGTGGCGTGAAATAACTGATAAACTCATTTTTTTTTTCAATTTTGACTTAGACCACTTTCATAATTATGGGCACATATGAAAGAACGAGATGACTAGTATTTCCGGTCTAGTAATATTGTTAAATAATGGTAGATACCTTGTAAATCGAAAATTGCGAGAGGTAGGGTGTTATAGGCAGAAAAGGCGGGAAGATGAAAAGCCGTTAAAAGTAAAGAAGAGGACTCGAGTTTATGCTTCACCATTTCGCTTAAAAATTTGTCCTGAACTGATTCATATGAATGGTCTCGCATTTTCATCACCAAAAATGTTCCGTAATATCGTGAGCTACTCATTTTTCACATTTTCGCTCAATTTGCTTTACGTAATGGACCCCCAGGGTTGGGTAAGTAAAATACCCTAGGTAACTTTACGCGGTTCTTTACAGCAAATTACTAGGTATTTTACTCTGGTTTCATACGCGATGTGAATTACATGAATGTGGGTCTTTACGTTTCTGGATTTCCTGTTCCTGTTTCCAACGGGCATACGAATTGATATGCATTGTTATGAATTTACGGGAAACTAGAATGTTGAAGCATAGACCTTTTTATTGGTTTACTACTACTTGCCATCATTCTTTATTCCTTTCTTTCTTTTTTACTAAAATATTTATTTACAAGTGATGTATACCTAAGACACTTTGAAGAAAAATAAGGTTACAGCACCGCCATCTTTGTTGGGTAATTTGTTAGGTAGTTTACTTGAATGTTACGTAAAATACTTAAGGGAAGTATTTTACGTAACATTACCAAACGGTACTTTATAGTAACTTTCCTTTTAGGTCAATATATCTGGATTCACTATATTCGGTGTTTTCTTCCCAGAGGGTAGTAATATAAATTCTGCATCCTGTCGCGTCATGAGGAAACGCAATTGTTTACGCTACGGTGAAGGAGACGTGGAATTGACATTTTTTTATCGTAATAAGATTTCCGATAAGGTGGAGTAACGAAACGAAGGCTGTCCTCAAGACAGCTATATTAAGTTGGAACCCACACATTACAGATTTAAATAACACTTAGGGCACGTTTTGCGTAAGATCGTAAGGAAGGTAATCTATAGAAATTTGAGAAAAATTCGTAAATCGTTATGCTCTCCTTCGTTTTCTCCATTTCCCTTCCCTCGAGTTAATTTGTATATGTTCATATAAATCTTCAATCTTCTTCGTTTCTACTCCCTTGTGTTATCTGCTCGTGTTAACCTTTCCAGCGATCCGTTATCTCCGGACTATCCTGATTAGTAGGCTCGTTCTTCCTTGCCTCTTGTTGTAACTTTCGGAAAAACGCAAGATCTTCCGTCCTCTCCTTTTCCATTTTCACGGGGTCCATCATTCTGAGGGCAACGCTCTCTTCGTATTTCTTTGTCGTGAAATTCGTGATATCGAATATTCTAACATACGTCCCTGATTTAACTTTTCCATCGAGAGTGTCTTCGGTTTCGTTATTGCCGTTAGCGGTTTCCTTTTCCTGGACCGAGTTATTAATTCTATGTTTATAATTCCTGTATTTATTAAATCTACGGTTATAATTACCTGGGTCATTTCTACCTTGGGGGTCGTCCTGAAAGTTCTCATTTCTCGGAGTTTTATTTTTATACATTGCTGGCACAGCTTTGACATACGGATTTGGCGTGACAAAATATCCACCACCCATTGTTGGTATCAATAAACTTTCTTTTTCTTTATTTCCATTGAGATTTCTGGCATCGCCAACAAATGTCCCAGGAAAGTGTTCGGTAATCGTTTCTGAATTTTCTCTAAATACTTCTTCACTGACACTCGTCTCTGGGCTTTTATCAATTTCAAATAGTTGACTAGATAACGTTCTCGTTTTTCTTTTATTGGCTCCTTCGTTGTCTTTAATTTTATCCTTATCCCCGGTTCTCTCACTGTTAGAATTTTCCGTCCTTTTCTCCACGTTTCCACTTTGTCGAATGTCATTTTCGAGATCATTGTTTAAATCTCCCATTGTAGGGTCGTTAAAATGATTAATTTCAATTTCGGTTTCTCTTTTCATTCCGTTTTCATCGTCGACTCTTTTACCTTTATTTTCAACTTCCTCGGTTATCGGAAACGGTGATATTGCATTTATGAATTCGGCTTTCTTCTCGACCCTTTCCAATTTATCGGGGAATAATTCATTTACCTCCGGAACGTTATCATTCAATATTCTGCCTAAATGGGCAACCATTTCTGTCTTATCAATCGATTCACTTGATTCGTTCTTCGTCTCATTTTCGTCATTATTTCCAATGATTATGCTCGGGGTTACAGTAGATGTCTCCTTTTCTATTTCCAACCCGTTCATTTGATTCATTTGATTAATATCGCTTCTAACTTGACTTTTTAAATTGGCTTTATTCAATTTTTTCGACCCTTCATATGTATTAGAATGGTTTGGCGTTGTGTCACTCAAACTGTTAGATTTGGTCGATATTTCTTCATTTTCCACACTCTCATTTTTTCTAAGGTCTTCGTTTTTCTCGCTTTCAACTGTTCGTTCATCGACGAGTTCATTGTTCATCGATTTCACCTCTCTTTGCGGTTTTTCCAGTCTTGTTTGGGCACTCGTGGACCTTTGAACATCATTTTTGTGGGACCCTTGTGTCCCATCATGTAATGTATATTGATATCGGTTATCAGAGTTATCACTTTGGATGTTCGTTTTATCTTGGATAGACTTTTCCAGTTGGATAGATTTTTCCAGTCTTGTTTCGGTACTCGTGGACCTTTCGACATCATCCCTGGGGAACCCTTGTGTCCCATCATGTAATGTATACTGATATCGGTTATCAGAGTTATCACTTTGGATGTTCGTTTTATCTTGGATAGACTTTTCCAGTTGGATAGATTTTTCCAATCTTGTTTCGGCACTCGTGGACCTTTCGACATCATTTTTGTGGGACCCTTGTGTCCCATCATGTAATGTAGATTGGTATCGGTTATCAGAGTTATCACTTTGGACGTTCGTTTTATCTTGGATAGACTTTTCCAGTTGGATAGATTTTTTCAATCTCGTCTCAGCACTCGTGGACCTTTCGACATCATTTTTGTGGGACCCTTGTGTTCCATCATGTAATGTATATTTATATCGGTTATCAGAGTTATCACGTTGGACGTTCGTTTTATCATGGATAGACATTTCCAGTTGGATAGATTTTTTCAATCCCGTTTCGGCACTCGTGGACCTTTCGACATCATTTTTGTGGGACCCTTGTGTCCCATCATATAATGTATATTGATATCGGTTATCAGAAGTATCCTCACTTTGAACGTTCGTTATACCTTGTATAGACTTTTCATAATTCCGATCTACATCTCCCAGCTGCAGTCTATTTCTTCTTATTTCACGATCGCCCATTTCCATATATCTGCGCACCAATACACTGATAGGCTTAGCGATTACTTTCCCATTTTCATTTACAAATTCGGCCCGATTTGCGGACAATTTGGCCATACTTTCATCTTCGATCGGTGATCCGTGCCTCCCTTCGATGGTTCGACTCATTTCTCCATTTTTCGGCAAATCTTCCTCATCCGAGTCACCCTTTCCCTCCCCTTGCATTGAAATCTCCATTTGTTCGTTCTGCAACAAAAGCTTCGTTTTCTCTACATCAACAGGCTCTTTCAAAAGCTTTCTGGTTTCCACTCGGTAGTTTACATTACAACCTCTATCATATTCCTGGATATTGTTTACACCGTCTAAAACATTGTTCGACTGAGTTAGCCGTAATTGGTTATCGAAAGGCCCTAAGACAATGACAACGAAAGCTCCATTTTTATCATATCTATAATCATCACCAAAATCCTCATCTACACATCGTGGCTCGTCGTTCTCGTCTTCGTATTTTATTTTGTAACCCTGATTACGTAACAAATCCGGTGAACCTCCTAAAGGATCTTCATAAGGTCCGCCATTTTCCGGATTACTTTCATCTTGAAATTGAATATTATTCCTCGCGCCAATTATCTCGTTATCAACCTCGGCATCGATAATACCACCCTCCACTTTACGCGCTGCTGTTCCGTCAGTATCATAATCTGCATTATCAGCGGTATTTAAGAAGCTTCCACTTCTGAAACAATAAGGTGGGTTATTTACTTCGCAATTAACAGTCTCATATTCTCCAGGTCTCCGGCCATGTATAATCCGCGTCTCGTAATCCGTGTCACCGGAAGTACTCTCGTGGTTTAAAATCCTCCACTCTGTTTCATACGTGTCGGTGAATCTTAATGGGTTATCCTCCTTGGTACTTTTTCTATCGGTCCTGCCGGGATATTTCGACATTGGCTTTTGATATCTACATTTAATAGTGTTAAAAGTTGATGTAGGTAGCAAGGACGGTGGTACCGTCCACGTGTATGCTCCAAACGTCATTGGAACACGTGCAGGGATATTCGGGCTTGATGGCCACGGAATATAGTTGGCATTTTTCGAATAGTTGATCAAATAGTTCGATGGAGGGCCAGATTTCATTGGGGGGTATGTACTTTCTTTTGGTCTAGGCATGCATGGAGGATGACCTGCCCCTGGTGGACGGCGAATACCGAGTGACGAGGGAATGGGCTTTGACGGACTTCCCAGTAATTGAAACATTGGTCCTAACATTGGGGAGGAATCGGGATAACGTATCGGAAGATTTAACAAAGGCAATAAAGGTGACGTTGTGGGGCGATTTGATTGGTAGCATGGTTTTGATTGAGGAGTAAAAATTATTTCAAGAGGAGGTAATGGTCGAGGAATTTCTAGCGGATAAGGTATTGGTAATGGTCGCGAAGGTGGGATTGGTGTTGGTCGGAGGGTTGGTGTTTTTTGGAAGGGTGGTTTTGGGCGAGGGGTTGGTATTCGTTGTTGGGGTGGTATTGGTAGGAGGGGTGGTATTGGTCGAGAGGGTGACATTGGCCGAGGGGGTGGTGTTGGTCGGTGGGGTGGCATCGGCCAGGGGGGTGGCGTTGGTCTGGGAGTTGGTATTGATCGGTGGGGTGGTATTGTTTGAGGGGTTGGTATTGCCCAAAGGGGTGGTATTGGTCGGGCGGGTGGAATTGGTCGAGGGGGTGGTATTGGTCGGGCGGGTAGCATTGGTCCATGGGGTGGCATTGGTCTGGTGGGTGATTTTGGTCGGGGGGGTGGTATCGGTCGATATTTCGGTCGAGGAGTTAGTGTCTGTTGAGGAAATGGCGCCGGGTGAGGATTGGGTTTAAGTGGTGTAGAAAGTAACCAGATTGGTGGTGGCCTCACTAGAGATTTTTCAAAATCTGGTGCAGGATTTAACTTTGGTCGAGAAGGAGTGATTGGTGGAGAAGGGACAGTATCTGGCTTAGGTAATGGAGGTGCTGGACGTGGCTTTGGAGGTGGAGGTGGTGGAGGTGCTGGACGTGGCTTCAGAGATGGAGCTGGTGGAGGTGGTGGACGTGCTGGACGTGGCTTTGGAGATGGAGCTGGTGGAGGTGGTGGAGGTGCTGGACGTGGCTTTGGAGATGGAGCTGGAGGAGTTGATGGAGGTGGTGGAGGTGGAGCAGGTGGAGCCGCGGGACGTTGTGGGAAAAACTGATTCTTTTTTTCCAGTATCCATTTGTTAAACTTGGTCATTTTACCAGTTGGCAAAAAAAACCTGCCGGAAGCTTTCGTCTGATCTTCTTCTCCAAATGACGAATTGTATTTTTGTATGAATTCCAAAATATCATCTTTCTTCATTTTTGCTATTTCGTTGGAGAAATCTTCTTCCGATGATATTGACAAAGTAGTATCATCTTCTGACTGCTTTCGCTCAATATTGCCACGAGCGATTCCAATAGGGACGTCTTCTATAAATTTTAATAAAGTATGATTTATTTTTAAACCATTTTTGTAGCAATGAATGGACTGAGATAAAAATCTAGTTAAATTAACTACTTTTCAACTAGTTCGTATAGTTCAAAAGGGACTCGGATACTTGTAATAGTAAAATTAACTTTTCTTTTCTGAACTGGGAAATCGAGTAACGGTTACTATATTTTTTGTTCGGAAGTAGTCAAATGAACTATTCTATGTTTGCTATACTTATCTAGAAAGAATAACTAAAACTTCTCCTGTTCGTATAGTAAAATTTTGCTTCATTATTGTAAACGTAACTGATATGTCATCGTAAATTTTACATGCCCAGATAGGATTTTTAACCGTGGGGGATAGTTCTGTTAATCAGTAAATCTGTTTACAAAAATAATTCTTTGTAATTATAGACGTTTATTAAATTTATTATGTTTGATTTGGCGGTACTCTTGTACATATGTCAATTATATGTCATATTGACATATAACAATATGTCAATTAGGGATAGAGTAGTGTCTTATATACAAACGAATTCTTTATATCATTTGCGAGAAAACCTCGCCAATTATCGATACTGTCGAAAATGAACAAAGTTTTCGGTAACGTTTGGTACAAAACAGAAATTGTTTTAACCAACCCGCAATGGTAAACGGTTGTACTAGCAATATTGTAGTTACTGAAAGTAAATTAAATAACAACGTTTTGCAACGAGAGTCGACACTATTTAAAAGGTAATGTAACTATTTCAAAATGCTTGCAGATTTTACGATAAACATTGTTACCGTTAATACAAAATTCCGACAAGAACCAGTAAGATGCTCACCTATTAGAGAAATAGTTGCCGATACTAATTTATAGTAAATCAAACAATAAATTGCGTTCTTTCAAGAAAAACAATGGGCTTAACGGAATTTAATTGTTCAATTTACCAGTTCCTTTTTTTTTCTGAATGTGTAAAACATATAATTTCAAGAGATTTTGAAGATACCATTATCGAGATTCTCTGGATTATCAGTCCTCTGCAAATTATCATCGCTTGGTACTTCATTCAACTTCTCGGTTGTATTCCCATGCACCTAGTAACGTGAAAATGGAGAAAGTTAAATTTTCCTTATTACGTAAACCATAACGATAATGTCGATTACGACGTACGTGGTATTTTAATTTCCGGCACATTAAAGAAATGGATTTCTCTTATCTGTTGCGTAAGTGATGGAGGTTCATACAATGGAGGAATATTAAATTTCCATGTTACTTTAACACTATTTCTACCAAAGGTGTCTAAAGACACCTTTTAAAATTTTAACTTGAAATTATTTTCAAAGTTTAATCATTTTTTCTAAATTAATGTTTTGAGTTTTCGTATAATAATTTATAAACATATAGAGAAATTATATTTTTTAACTTATTAACGTAATAAAAATACATTTTTTACTTCACGACTATTATCGGACACTTCATTTGGCATAAAAAAACACGAGAAATTATTCTAATATTTTCGTCCGACTATTTCATTATGGGAGCAAAACGTGTGAATTTGATTTTAAATATTTTTAAAACGTTTATAATCTATTCGACAGATATGTAATAAATACTTGTATTAAAATGATACGAAATGTTTTGTATATCTGGTAGAAAAATATTATGAAAACACATGGAGCTAATATTATATAAATATTATAGAGATAATATTCTAAAGTAGACGTTTTGCAAATATTTCAAATGTCTGGTAAATATTTACAAAATGTACGATATTCGTTAAGTATATAGAAAATATAGGATGAATATTTTGTGCTACTAGAGAAAGAGCTGATTTTTTACAAATTATTTTTACGTAAATCCTTTATCATACTTGCAGCAATAGCGTATATATAATGTGATATAGACGTTTGTGTCATGTTGAGTTTTGTTTGTGGCATTTTTTTTTACAAAAATCAAAGCGGTTCAAAAGGATAAACAAATTCCGAAGTCGTGGAAATTTGGATTTTTCGACTCTAATGGGTTCTCCGACGTCAGGAAAATTCAGAACCTCTCAGAACATCAAAAATGTTACAATGGTCATTTTCGGAATTTGTTTATCTTTTTTTTTTAACCCTTTGGCTACTAAGAGCGCGTAAAGGCGACTGACGTTTGGTCCAATATTGCCTGCACGGTCAGACGAATTTCGCCCATATGTCGGAATGGCTCCGTGTTCAAATGGTTAACAGTTTTGGTTTTTGTAAAAAGAAATGGCACAAACATCTACATGACAGAAACATTTAATTAAACCTGTTAATTTTCTTTGTGCCTCCAACTGCATTTCACACAGACCTAACAAGCGATTAAGTTATATTCACTTTTCATTTACTTTCGTCGACTCACCTTTAAGTAATTGAAGGAGAAGAAGAGAGAGGCAATGCAGAGGGTGATTAAAATCTTCATTTTCGTTACGTACTATGTACAATTATCGACGATACATGCCACTTTATTTTACGCTTTAATGCAGCCGTTCGACAGTCTTTATCCTAATTTCAGCTCCGTCATATTTCTAGTTCATTGACGAGCACTGGACATATGCTGACTTCTAATTGTTATTAAAGTCGACGAACGGTCTCTTCGTCGTTTATATTTCCTCCGAGGAAATCCCTTCTTCGTGATTATCACAATCAAATACGGAAGACTTTCCTATTGCGATTGGCCATCGTAAGGTGTTTCGGATAAGTAATACGCCCCGTCGACTTGTACGTTTTATTGCCCGCCTTATGGAACTTATTGCGCATGTAATTGAAAATGTTTTATTACGTAGATCGTTCTTTCCAAATTTTACCCGGCATCCCACCTTCGTCGTAACTCCGTTATCAAAATGGTCGATATTGAATTTTAGTTGAGTATGACCGTAAGGTGGGATTCAATTTTGAGGTCCCCTGATTACAAGCCGTTTCGGATACGACTTTGAGATAAGAATTTCTAATCGACTGCAGGGTCAGAAAACCTCGAATTATCAGGAGGAAGTCCTTTTCTTCATGATCAGACCCATAATGACGTCGAGCTCTCATATTTCGATTAATATACAATTATCGAAGGCTCCAATGGGAGAAACGAAAGGGTCAAGACCATTTTACGAGAATTTAGAACACTCTGGTAATCGATAAACGGGATAAAGGCAAAAAAAGTGTCTTATGCGCTTAATTTGATATTTATATTTATACGAAAAAGAAAAAGAAATCACGAATCCAAAGGATTCCTTGAGTTTTACATTGATATCTTCATAATCCTCTCCTGAAATTCATACTCCAAATGCAATTTCAGGAGAGGATTATCAGGAGATCAAAGAAAAACTCAAAAAATCCTCTGGATTCGTGATTTTTGATACTCTAATCGACCGTGGCGCCACCTGCGGTATTCAACGACAACTCATTTTTTCTCCCCGCGAGCAGGAACATGGCACAAGTTACTTACGTTGTACTTTGATACATTTTCTTTTCATTCGGATGTATATACACCTTTCTGTTAACATCATGTTTTAAATGATTGAGTATGATTCCTGACTCGCTCAATTGTTGCTTTAGAGTCTTCTAAAAGTAAATAATGGGAGGAAATATTCCTTGATTCTGGTCTATGTTATATAAAGACTATTTTTTCCGAAAAATGACATTTTTTTTCTCAGGAATTGTCTTATCACCTCAATAGTCATGCGTTAATATTTCAGACGAATCGATTCGTTAATCGTCAAATGCGTTACCTTAAATGCGTTACTGCCTTTTAAATAGACCAATAACGTTCATTTTTCTGTTTCAGGTAAGTCGACGGCTTTTCTTGCAGCGATAAGTTGTAAGTAGTCCAGGAAGGAATAAATATTAACTATTACGATGGTCTAGTTGCTTTGCAAGTGTTAGCAACAACCACACTCGGTGCATTAATAACGACAGCGTTAATGTTGCCAAGCAAAAAATTCGTAATACCTAAGGGGATCTCGTAGTTGTTAAAAGAAAGAATATTTCAATCAATAAACTGCTGCTGAGAGAAACTTTGGTCTTACTCGCATAATAAACGCGAATAAGACCAAATTCTTATTTTTTTAATTTTTTTTTTAGGCGAGTGGAGCATTAAAATATGATTTTTATGATTAAGCTGATGTGAAAGGCGTCGAGAAACTTGTATGTACTGACGGTAAAAAATCATCCTAACGAAAGCGCCATCTGAAACCGCTACCGGTCTCCACGTGGACTGTCGATAACGTATCGATAAAAGCGTCGCACCGCACCGCCAACATTTAAACCCACGTTTGCAGCCATCGTTAGTTAAGGTGAAGTGAAACACGTCGAGGAACTTGATCGGCGTTGATAAAGAAGAATCTTCTAAATGCCTACAATTATCGAAGACTCTGCTATGAGAAACGAAACGGTCAGGACAATTGTACGACAATTTAGAACACTCTGGTAATCGAGAAACTCGCATTTGAATGGAATAAAGGCAAAAAAAGTGTTGTATGCGCTTCTATGCTAAAACGATGGGAATACGAGGTCTCGGGGTGAAAATTTAGTTGACCTGGAAATCACAGATGGCGCAGGGGGTTCCTCTGCAGTCAATTAGGGCCCTAGAAAGCATGAATCCAGTGTATTTCTGGAGTTTTACTTCGATTTCTTTATAATTAATATACGAAAACGACAGGTGGAGTATGCCATTTGGTACAATACCCAATATAATTCGACCCAGCTGTCGATATAAAAATCAACGTCGGGAACGTAGGTATTTAGGAAAATCTTAATCGACGTCGATCAAGTTCCTCGACGTGTTTCACTTCACCTTAAGCTTTTAGACTTAATTCTAAGACAAGACCGGACGTATATGTACGTGGACGTGGATGGATAAAAGAAAAATAGCCCGTTCGGGATATATCCCACCTAACCGAAAGGAATGAGCATAGAGAGAACTGTTGAAAGAAAATTGCGGAAAATGTATTTGAGGCGGCTCGACTTGATGGTTCTTCCCGCTGCGCGTGGTATCCGTGGGGGCCTTAGATAATAACCGAGGAGGGACTGAAAAGGAGCGGGAAATCTGTCACGGATGAAGGCGTCGGAGAGGCCTGAAAGAGCCGGGAGGGGTCACCGGAAGGGGTGGAGAGAAGCGCGTAACGCGTGCAAAGCGAACGATCGTAACTTCGATAGTCCTCGTCTGGCCGCGACGCCGCTCGAAACGCTCGGCAACCGAAAGCTCCTAAGAACGCGTGTCAAGTGCGTAATCGCTCGTTAAACGATATCAAATAATAGTTGGGATATAATGGCTTTAAGATGATATGAAAGTGATATCAGAGAGGTCTCGTTTATGGAACGTTTTCACGAGCCAACTTATGTTCCCACGGAAGCATTGAAAATGACGTTANCATTGTTTTTTGTAATTTTGACTTAGACCACTTTCATAGTCATGGGCACATATCTAAAATGGCCCTTTCATATCCCCTTAAGCGGAATCTTGCGAAGACGATCTTGTGAAGAATGGAATCTCTTTGATATGAAAGTTGTCATATATACATACCAAAAAGTGAAAATGTATATAAAACTTTTCTCCACCCTGGATGCATCGAATCATTTAGAATTTCAGCACGTGATTATCGAGGTCCTGAGGTAGAACGTGATGTTCATAAAATTTCAGTTTCCAGTGAAAAGGTTTTTTTTTCTTTTTGTCTTTTATTTAGACGATCAGAACCAGGATCTTTTTTTTTTTTTTCGTGAAAAATGAAATTTCCAGAGCATCGCGGGGGATGGCCATTAGGGCCTTTATAATCACGTGCTGAAGTTTCAAATGATTCGGTGCACACCCAGTGTGGAGATGTTTTATGAATATTTTGAGGTTTTATGTAGATAGAATGACGCTTTCATATCACCTTAAACGGAATCTTCTCGTCCATGGTGAATCACTGGTCGGAATCCAATCTCTCCTCCTATACCTTAAAAACGCGCATAATTCGACGGTGTTGCGAAGTACTAATTGCCCTATTTCATGGGATTCGTTTAACGGTGTCCGGGAGAAATAGGAACTTGGGAGAAACGCCGCTTTTTACGAGTCTAGTGGTTTCTAACCCCAGGAAGAGTCCACGTGTATAACGAATTTAAACGCGAATGTGAATGGTTTTGGTTGATAATTGTTAAATTAGAGGAACTCTCGGTTAAAAGTGTAACGAGTTCAAGGAAAGAGTCCGCCTGGAAGTGCCGGAAGTGCTGCAAATTGTATAAGTTTATTGCTGAGGACAGGACGGGGATCTAGACTTGAGATATGCTTCATGAACGTCGCAAGATGAACATTTGTCGATTGAATTTAATTGGCTAGGTAATGATTAAAATTGCAAATTGTATTAATTGTACAAGTTTTAGTTAATTGCTGCGGACAGGGCGGGGATCTAGACTTGAGATATATTTCATAAATATTGCAAGATGAACATTTGTCGATTGAATTTAAGTGGCTAGATAATAATTAGACGTCGACAGGCAGTATTTTGAAGAGCGATCGCAAGTGACTTAATATTGACTTTTAAAAGCAATACTACTCGAAATGATTTGAGAAGAATCGAAAAGGAACTTTTTGAAAGACGACAAACTGGCGGGTCGCATGCTCGAAGCGAAGCAAGTATTTTTTAATGGAATGAAACAGTCGAGGGGCAAACCCGCGTTTTCTTAACCTTTGTTAACATAACCTTGCTTTTAACAATACGTGTCCGGAGATACGCCGGTCTATCCTCAGCCCTAGGAAGATAGAAAAGAATAATCCATTTCGGTGTTTCACGGAAAGGGAGAAACGGAAACTATTTCCGCAATTGAATTAGGAAAGGAAAACTCGGGTATTTGGCAAGGTTCCCGCGGGCCGAACTTGTCTTTCGTATGGTCGCTATAATGGTCGCAGTCATAAAGGGTTACACGAGGTTGTCGCTAACTCGTGAAAAGGATTGGCCTTTTTTTTCCTCTTAACCCTTTTAGTGCCGGGCGAAAAAGAGGTGCTTATGCGAAGATAATCGGCCGAATTTTACAATTTTACTAGGATTTGGAAAAAGACTCATAAAGACCAAACGAAGAGCAATATTTACATAATTCAAAACGCAGGGTATTAAGGACAAAATAGAGAATAAAACAGTGATGCTAATTTTTCTATATTCATTGAAAATTACATAAATAACGATTGCACATAGGAAAAGTCATCTTTTCATCATAAATTTATATAGACCGTTTATTGCAAAGTATATACTTTAAATTTCCTATATATTTTTTAACAAAATGAGTAATATTGCACAAGAAACAAAAAATAACTCCAAGGCACGTGGTAGGCGCCGGACGGATTATCTCATCCGAAACAAGTAATTGTTATAGGTTATAGGTTGTTATAGGTGTTGTTGTATCGTTATTTTAATTCTCTCGTAATGAAATTAGACTATTTATAACGTATTATCAATTTATTTTAAGATAGAGATCTCTCGCAAAGCGAATAGTAAAGCGCTACAAAGTGCGGGCCGATATATGTGCCCATAATTATGAAAGTGGTCTAAGTGATATATTTTTTGTTTCGAAATTACATTGAATTAATTTCGTTTGAAATAATATGGCGTGGAAATAACTGACAAACTCATTTGTTTTTTGTAATTTTGACTTAGACCACTTTCATAATTATGGGCACATATCGGCCTCCGGCACTAAAAGGGTTAATAAATATCTTCGGAGAATCGTTTATACCCTTTGTAACAAGAGTGTCCGCTCTGTAAGCGATTAGAGAAAATGCCGCCATTTTCCGGCATATCTGCGCGGGGCCAGGAAGCAGATAGATTAATTTGGAAGTGCTGTCACGTGGTCGGTGGGCTTCCGGTCTGGCCCGGAAGACCGTACAAGTCTCACCTAGCATTCTTATACCGTGTTTCTAGCCTCGACCGTGTCCTTGCCGTGGTTTCGCAAGAAAACGTGGGCCCAAACCCGAAATCGAGTCCGACTTCGAACGGAAACAGTATACGTAACGTTATTCAGGTTGAAACGAAAGTTGGAACCGAATCCGTGGGTGTAAAGTTACACGAGCCGAAACGATGGTCGGGCCCAAATCCGTGGATTCGATGTTACTTAACTCGAAAGGGGTCTCGTCGCGAAATCTGCATACCTACTTGCGCGGTGAGAATTTAAGGTGAAGTGAAACCCCCCCCTCAAATCAGCTGATTCGAATAAGACACCTTTTTTTAAGGGTATTCGACCGAACCGTCCGAAACTTTAACACATCACTCCTAGTCATCTAAGAATTGTCCTGACACATTCAAAATTTGGATTTTTGGACAAGAATTGCTTAACTTTGATTGAAGAGTCTAATATGAGAAACGAAATGGTCAGGACAATTGTATGAGAATTTAGAACACTCTGGTAATTGAGAAAGTCGCATTTGAACGGGATAAAGGGAAAAAAAGTGTCTTTTGCGCTGCTATGGCAAACCAATGGGAATACTAGGTCTCGGAGTGAAAATTTAGTTGACGCGGAAATCACAGATGGCGCAGTGGGTCCCTCCGCAGTCAATTAGGGCCTCGGAAACCATGAATCCAGGGAATATCCGGAGTTCTACTACGATTTCTTTATAATTATTGTACGAAAACGAGAGTGACGTACGAAAACGTCTCGGAGTCACAAATTTAGTTGACGCGGAAATCACAGATGGCGCAGTGGGTCCCTCCGCAGTCAATTAGGGCCTCGGAAACCATGAATCCAGGGGATATCTGGAGTTCTCCTTCGATTTTTTTATAATTATTGTACGAAAACGACAGATGGAGTATGCCATTTAGTACGATACTCAATATAATTCGACACAGCTGTCGA